AATGTTTAACTAGTGCACTTGATATCATGTTTTCTCCTCTTGCAGAAGACAGAAATAGGTGCATTATTAGCATCTCCTGGTGCAGCACTTCTTAAATTTCCTTACTTGCTCTTTCTTTGAAGTCTGCCTTCCATGGTGTTACCAAAACATAACCTTTCTTGAAATGTTTTTTTGCCTTTTTTTCCCCTGTTGTTTTCATTTTTGTTTTTCTAATCTGATCAACATGAGACTTCATTTTAATCATTGTTTTCAGCTGCTTATTTTCAGTGGCTTTTCATGTTTTTACAGAATTACAATCGACCTCCAGTAATGGCCTTAGCTGTCCCAGTGGCAGTGAAATTTCTTCAGAGGGGCAATAAGGAGCTGTGCAGAAACATGTCAAGTTATCTATCCTTGGCTGCAATCGCTAAAGCAGATCTGCTGGCTGATCACACAGACACCATTGTCAAAAGTGTCCTTCAAGGTAGGGTCTCACTGAGATTTTGGATTTAATCCTGCAGCGTGCCCACCATTAGATTAGTTAGGCTGTATTAGGCATATATACAAACAAACACATTATATGTAAAAACATGTATGAGGCATGTATGTATAAAGCATACATATAGACATATCTAAAAGCATGTGATAAAACATGTTAGACACGGTCTAATAACAGACTATATCAAGGAGGACCTTTCAAGAATATGTGCATTTACTGAGCTTTGTTGATTATGGAAGTTTCATTATAGATTGGATGACCCATAGGGCAGGAAATACATCTGTACTTGTTAGTATACCGTACTGATGGACTTCAAATTATAAGCCATGATATGAGACGCTAGTTACTGGGCTTTTATCCTTTCTATTAGTGTCATTGGCAATACTCCAAAATATAAATGGGTATGAAATGAATCCCATTCTGTGGCAAAATAGTCAGATGTAAGATATGAAAGCTTTGTAGTGGTTCTTTAATTTTGTCTACATTATTAGCTTTACATAGAATATTGTTGCTAAACTCTGTGCATTTTACTTTTGTGGTTTTAAAAAGCCAAAAATATTCCTACCTCTACAAAAGGAAGTCTGATTTAGTTGAAGTAGTCAAGTTCACAGCATTTGTTGCAATATAGTGCTACTGCAGTAGTAAAATCGCTATTTGCTTTTCTTCAAGTAGGGGTAACAGCAATAAGTAGCAATAGCTGTCTAATTTTTCCAAGAACATTGTTATGAAGGTGTTAAGCCCTCAAATTAAATGTGTGCATTCTGTATTTATTAAAAATTATAAATGGAGTGTAGTTATTTTTACACGTTTTATGGATGGATAGCTAATCTGGAAAGTAATGTTGTTAAGACATTATGGTAAGAGTTTGCATATTTCTGTCTGCTTTGTTTAAGGACAAATGTGTGATAAATATAATAAATTACAAACATGTATGAGCTATGTGGTAATACTAATTGAGTAGAGTCCAAGAACAGAATATTGCTAACAACTTACAAAGCCACGTGGATAATTCTTTTAAGACTTGTGACGTTAGTATTTATGTGTTAACATTGTGTATTACCCCTTGTAATGCAGTGCTATTAACAGAAAGAAATAAAGTGAAACAGGTTTTATGGTGTAGTCATAGGTTTAGGAAAGGTGATTAACACCCATAAACTGAAGGTTTCATCATGACTGTTCCTGCTCATTTTTGTGTATTTATGTTATTCTACCAGCAGATGTTGCTGTGTCCATCATATTTGGAAATTCCAGACTGGAAGAGGGCACTCTGAATAGGCAAAGTGCTCTGTTTTGTATACTGGCTTAATTGCACTGTACATAATTTGTATTTCAGGCATGAAAAGGTTGGTTTGCAGCAGGCTAAGAACTGCGCTTAAAGACTGAGTGCTGAAGGGAGAAGGGAAGCAAGAGGATAAGCTGCTAAGGATGGATTTACAAAGCAGTGCGGAGACAAAGGGCCTTGTTCTGGTGCTGCACAGATGGGGGGCTCAGCCTAATGGCACCAGTGAGACTGATAGTAGACTTTGGCCCGTTGCCTGTGAGTGTTTGAGCTAACTGGATTTTTTGATTACTTGGGGCAACTGTTTGGCTGCATAATCAGTTTCTTATCTTATTAGCTAAAAAAGAGCTCTTTAGAA